GGGACTGACGCCAAAAATCATACTGTGGCTTTACAAAACTGTAATTCGGTCCATGATCACATACGGCGCTCTGGTATGGTGGACCAAGACCAATGAAGCCACCACAATTAAGAAGCTTCAGCGCTACCAGAGACTGGCATGTATGGCTGCCACAGGCTGCAAAAGAACTATGCCAACAGCAGCCTTGGAAGCGATGCTGGAGCTAACTCCGCTTCATCTACATATACAACAAGAAGTGACTTTAGCTGCCATCAGACTCAAGACCCTAAATCTTTGGAGTAAGAATAGTGTCCCTCATACAGGCATAATTGATAGAATTCACTCAGAAATTCCTATCCTATAAGCCAAATACGATAGAATTCCTAAACAATTTGTTTTCGATAAGAAATACAAGATACAATTAAATGAAAATAGCCAGCCGGAAGGATTAAGCCCAAAAGAGCTTAGAATTTTCACCGATGGTTCTAAAACAAATGAAGGTGTAGGTTCTGGAGCTTTCTCTGAAGACCTCAATATTCACATATGCACACCGCTGGGTACCTATAACACGGTCTTTCAGGCGGAATGTATGGGTATCATTCAAGCGGCTATAGATGCTAGGAAGGTTAATGACTTCCCCATCAGAATACTGACCGACAGTAGGGCGGTACTACAAGCTCTGAGTTGCAATGGGGTGAACTCGGGACTAATATATGAATGCCATCAACGATTAAATGAGGTATGTAAAAACAACAATGTGACTCTGCAATGGATAAAGGGACACAGTGGATCCAGAGGCAACGATGCAGCGGACGAACTGGCCAGAAGAGGATCGGCTCTGGCCACTATAGGGCCGGAACCAATCATACCAATCCCCTTTGGTAACGTTCGTTCAATGGTACGTAGACACTTCACTAATCAACACGCTCAGCTTTGGAAAAATCTAGTAGACTGTAGACAAGCTAGGGAGGCCCTACCTGTAATAAACAGTCGCTTAACCAAAGTTCTAATGAGACTGAACAAGCCGCAGATCAGGATAATAACTAGTGCTATCACAGGACACGGCACCTTTAACAAACATTTATTTACTATAGGTGTTACAGATAGTCCCCTGTGCAGGGCATGTATGGGGGAGGAAGAAACGGCGGCCCACGTGCTACTGAAATGTCCGGAGGTCGCTACGTACAGGGCTAAACATCTCGGCACGCCGGGATCACTCCCCGAAGTTGCATGCAACATCAAGGGACTGTTGAGCTTCTTCGGGGAGATCTCATGGCTCGAATAATCACATTATTCCTGCCCACACGCAAAATACGCGCATAGACGTGGAGTTGCGGAAAACAGCCCGTCGCAAACTAAACTAAACTAAACTGGTTGTCAAAACCGGAAAGGAACTATTATGTCACAAGACGCGAATTGCTAGCTGTGGTAAAGTCGTTGCAGCATTTTAGCAAATATTTTCTGGGGCGGAAATACATTTTCAAGAAGACCTTGTCCTGAAGATCGCAAGCAGTGTACTAGGCAATAGGGTAAGGAACTGGTATCTGTGAGGATGCTCAGGACAGACCTCAGCAACGAGTAGAAGGACAGCTTACAGCTTGCACAGTAGGAAGATCCGGACATCAAGCCGATTCTGGAATGGATGAAGGCCAGTGGTTCCAAGCCCAAGTGGAGTGACGTCTCAGTGATGAGCTCTACCACTAAAAGCTTATTGGGCCCAATGGGAAAGCTTGCTGCTTAAGGATAGAGTTCTGTGCCGTAAATGGGAATATGGTCGGGGAGACAGCTGTCATTTGCAAATAATGGTTGTCCCTAAAGCTAAAGTACCGGATGTTCTACAGCTGTACAATAATGATTGTTCAGGAGGCCATCTGGGAGTTAAACGAGCTCTACTGAAGATCCGAGAACGGTTTTACTGGGTCCACTGTCGAAACGATGTCAAGGACTGGTGTCGCAAATGTACAAGTTGTGCGGCTGTAAAGGGACCTCAGACTCGTAGTAGAGGTGCATTGAAGTTGTACAATGTTGGTGCACCATGGAAGAGAATAGCCATTGGCGCGGTGGGGCCGTTTCCGAGAAGTGAAAGTGGTAACAAGTATTTCATGGTTGTGATGGATTACGTCACTAAGTGGCTAGAAGTCTTCCCCATTCCAAATTAAGTAGCTTCAACAGTTGCAGATAAACTAGTTCATGAAATCTTCTGTCGTTTTGGAGTACCTTTAAAGATTCACAGCGATCAAGAAAGGAATTTTAAGTCTCAAATATTCAAGGAAACTTGCCGAGTTATGGGTACTCACAAAACAAGAACGACTTCTTACCACCCGCAATCTGACGGCACAGTGGAACGATTTAATCAGACGTTGGAGAGGTACCTAACAAAAGTTGTAGACAATCGGCAACGATATTGGGATAAGCACATACAACCGTTTTTGTTGTCATATCCATGCCCTGTTCACGAAGGTACACCAGCTTTAGCAAACTTTGGAAGAGAATTACGGCTACCTGCAGACCTAATCACCGGGATACCACCTGATGCCCAACGCAGTATAACCAATTTTTTTATATAGAAAAGGGGGCAAACGAGCATACGGCTCATCTGATGTTAAGTGACTACCGCCGCCCATGATCAACCGCAACACCAGGGGAATTGCAGTTGCGTTGCTGTTTCTTTAGAAAGAGGTAAGCTCTTTTCTTGAAGGTCCCCAGGTCGTATCGGTCCGGAAAAATCGCCGGTGGTAAATTATTCCACAGAGAGATGCGTACGCGAAAGAAAACTCCTTCTGAAACGTACAGTGGTGGACCGCCAAGCATCCTGATGTTGTTGATGGTATCGGGACGTTTGCCGTGTAGTGCGTTCACGAAATTTGGCTGCTTGGATTAGTCCGAACAATTCCTCAGAGCACTCTCCGTGATAGATGCGATAAAATACATCTCTTCGCAACGCCAGTGAATCGAGCCGATCGGAAAGCACTCGGTCATCGACGATTCGAGCCGCTCTGTGCTGGTGCGGTCAAGTGGAAGGAGCTGGTACTGTGGAGCTCCAGCACAGAGATGGGAACAGTATTCCATGTGCGGCCGAACCTGCGTCTTGTAAAGTAGTAGGTGTTGTGCCGGTATGAATTACTGTCCCGCCCTGCTGAGCACGCCAAGCTTTTTAGAAGCCAATTTGGCCTTCTCTTCCAAGTGACCACGAAACTGCACGTCACTAGAGGACGATCGATGTCAACGCCGAGGATTCGGATACTGGCTGAGGCAACAAGGGGAGTGCCCTGAAACTGAGGAAACACGACAAAGGGGTTCTTTTTAGCGGTTAATGCGCAAACTTGTGTCGTGCGAGGGTTAAACTAGACTAGATTTAGTCGCCCCCAATCCGAGACTCTGTTCAGCAAAAACTCGACCTCAGACACAAGTTTGTCCCGGTACTCGGAGACGTTTTCCCGAGAAATATTGGCACGGCCGGTGTACAGAGCATCACCAGTGATGTCATCTGTATAGCAATGAATGTTACGGTTTTGCAATATATCATTGATATGTAGAAGAAACAGCGTTGACGATTGCATGCAGCCTTGTGGAACACTAGCATTAATAGGCTTGTAATCGGAGCTTGCACCGTCTACAACGACCTTGATGCTCCGATCTGCAAGAAAGCTGGTAATCCAATTGATTTTTTTTGATTAAATTGATTGAATTGATTTGATTATGCAATTGACATGCGGAACAAAATGAATGACATTTATGAGCACGTCAGACAATCGGGCCAGCAAATGTTCGAAAAGATGAAAACTCGGTATGACCGCAAATTGAACAACAAAGGGTTCGACGATGGTTCACTAATGTGGTTGCACAATCCAGTCCGCAGCAAAGAGAAATCTCCTAAGCTTCAAGCTAAATGGGACGGCGCGTACCGGATTGTGACCAGGATCAACGACGTAACCTACCGGATACAGAAAGGCGCAAGAGGTACTCCTAAGATCGTCCATGTGGATCGACTGGCGCGTTACTCGATAATGCTGGTCCATAATGCTCAGGACAAGCATGTCTTAAGTAGGCTCAGTGTTGCGCACTATAATTAGCGCCTGGTATGTGGCGGCTGGTTATTAGTGCCATTTGGTATCAAGCAGCAGAAACAGGAGCGTCAAGATCGTTCTAGAACTCTCCCACTAGTGCCATCTAGTATCGAGTGGGAGAACTAAGCTTTTTAGAAAGCCCCACACTCGAACTTTCTGCACCTGGTCGATCGGGGCCGGTACTTGCTGGAATGTTTTGGGATATTTCGGTGGAAAAGGCCTATATAAAGCTGTAAAAAGCCACGATCGGGGCTGTATTGAATTGGCGATACGAGCGAAGCTTTCTAAAGCGTTAAGTGTGAATAATTATTAGTATGATTTAAAGTTTTAATTGGTGTTCAGTAATTAAAGTGTCAATTTTGGTAATTCAATCGGCAGTTTTTATTTTCATGAACCGTAAGCACGTAACAATATGTTATATTAATTACTAATATTTTCAAACACACATTTTTTTAATATTCTTTTTACCTGGCGTAAAATAACCTATTCCTTGCTTAGATAGGATTATGGCTATAGCAGTAATCAAAATAGATCTTACTGGTCACGGTTACACTGGTCATAATAGACCACGCAAAACATGTGAACTATTCCTGGTAAATGTTGCAAGTGATTCGATGTTAATCTTACGTTTTTATCTGCTTAGAGGCCTAGAAATATTATTGTCATTAACTATCAACGGGTTAAGTTGTCGTCAAAATCTCGCAAGAACTTTACGTCAGTTTCGCGAATTTAAATACAAATTAGACTAGGCTGTATGATAAAAGGTCTTTGCCTGCCGTAATTCGCGAATCGGAATGCGTTAACAAAACAAATAAATCAAATAAATATTTTGTACAAATTACAGTTTCATAATAACATACTAAAGGCATTATCAAACATAAAAGAGAGGAACATTTGCTTATAAATACAATTTCTATTTAAGCCAAGACAGAACAGTCTCAGAAAATAGTCAAAATGGTCGAAGACTCAAGCATAAATTCTAAGTCTAAGGTAAGTTGGGTGGGTTTATAAACAAGTTTAATTTTGAGATTGAAGGTCCGCATACATTAGCTCTGGTTCGATATTGTAATATTATATTGGACTTTAATTTGTTGGAATATTAGACTAAATCGCGTTACATAAGATAATAAGAAATACATTAGTATAATTACTAATGTATATTTTTCCTTTAAAATCAGAATAAAGCAACACGGCCAAAAGCTGTATACTTATGGACAGAAGCTGATGTACAAAAATGGCTGAGGCGTCATTGCAGTGACTATTATAATTTATACTGGGAAAGATTTCATGAGGTAATGCAGTATTTTATTAATTTATTATTAACTGTTGTGATGCTTTAATAAAAGACATGGGCCGTCAAACCATGTTATTAATATCTCAGTCAACATATTATCTTGCTGTTGTGGTTTGTAAGTGCAACTGTTGATCATGTGAATTCAGGTTAGAATTCTGGGCCAAAATCAGTTTGGTTTTTTTGGTTGGGGCAGTATCAGCCTGGAGTCAGGAAGTTGGCTGTTTTCACCCCTGTACTGAATATATCTCCAGCTGTGTTGCATGGTATTCTCATAGTACTATGAGTGTGGGAGATTAGAGAGTAGACTTTCTAGTTAAGTCTGTAAGATTAGTTATATGTATATATATATATATACATTTCGTTGATCATGTTGCGTCATACATGGCAAATTTTACCAATGATACTGTCATCATCATCATCATCATTACAGCCCTTCACAAGTCCACTGCTGAACATAGGCCTCCCCCAAGTAATGCCACAAAGCACGGTCCTGAGCCACCTGCATCCATCGACTTCCTGCATGTCTTACCAGGTCGTCACTCCATCTAGTGGGGGGTCGCCCTACACTACGCCTACCGGTACGAGGCTGCCACTCGAGAACCTTTCTTCCCCATCGGTTATCGGTTCTTCGAGCTATATGGCCGGCCCATTGCCACTTCAGCTTACTAATCCGTTGGGCTATGTCGGTCACTCTGGTTTTACTGCGGATATCCTCATTTCTGAGTCTATCACGCAGAGAAACTCCGAGCATAGCCCTCTCCATAGCTCGCTGAGCGACCTTAAGCGTCCTCATACGGCCAGCAGTGAAGGACCACGTCTCAGATCCGTAAGTCATCACTGGCAACACGCACTGGTTGTACAATCTAGTTTTTAGAGATTGAGGTATACCTGACGAAAAGATATGCCGTAATTTCCCGAACGCTGCCCAGCCGAGTTGAATCCGTCGATTGACCTCTCGGTCGAAGTTGGACTTACCTAGTCGGACTATTTGTCCCAGGTAAACGTATTCGTCAACAACTTCGAGCATAGTGCTCCCAACAACTACCGGCATAGGTGTGACATGGACATTGAACATGATCTTTGTTTTGTCCATGTTCATCTTAAGACCTATCCGTTGGGAGGGGGCACTATTGAGGTCATTGAGCATAGTGCTTAAGTCCTCCAGCGATTCTGCCATAAGGACTATATCGTCGGCAAATCGAAGGTGAGTGATGTACTCGCCATTGATGTCAATACCGTATCCTTTCCAGTTCAGTAGCTTGAAAACGTCTTCCAATGCAGCGGTGAAGAGTTTCGGGGATATAACGTCACCCTGTCTTACACCTCTCTGCAGTTGGATAGGTTTCGAGCTCTGGTTCTGTACTCGGATAGCCATCGTAGCCCTACTGTACAAACACTTCAGCACTTCGATATACCGACAGTCAACTTGGCACCGCTGAAGGGACTGTAGCACCGCCCAAATTTCGACGGAATCAAAGGCTTTCTCATAGTCCACATACGCCAGGCAAAGTGGCAAATTGTACTCTTCCGTCTTCTGTACAATCTGCCGCAGGGTATGTATGTGGTCTATGGTACTGAAGCCTTTTTCGGAAACCGGCTTGTTCGGGAGGCTGGAAGTCGTCAAGTCTGCGTGCGAGACGATTCGTAATGACTCTCGAAAACAGCACGTAGACGCGGCTCAGAAGGGAAATCGGTCTGTAGTTCTTTAAGAGAGCGTTGTCGCCTTTCTTAAAGAACAAGACCACCGCACTTCTGCTCCACGCCTCTGGAGTAGTGCCACCATGGAGGACGGAATTGAAGAGCTTCTGAAGGACTTCAAGTACCGGTGTTCCACCCGCTTTCAGAAGCTCCGCTGTAATTCCATCCTCGCCTGGGGCCCTGCCGTTTTTAAGGTGCTGGAGACCCATTCTAATCTCGCTTAGACTGACGTCCGGGATATCATCGGAATAGTGTCGGATAAGACTTGCTCTTGTATCGTTACTCACACTTGCGTGTGGCTCCAACGATGATGTGTACAGCTGCCCATAGAAACTCTCAATCTCACTCAAAATCTCAGGTGTCCCGGAAACGATGTTGCCACACTCAGTCTTCAGCCTTGACAGTTGGCTCTTTCTGGCAGACAGATCTCTGGCAAAGACTTAGGAGCCCTGGTTCCGCTCGATCGCTTCTTTAATACGAGAAGTATTAAAGTTGCGTAAGTCTCGCCGTATGCATTTGGAGATCTGTCTGTTCAGTTGCCTGTATGCTGTCAAATCTGTTGACGATTGCAGCCTCATCTGCCGTCTAACAGCCATGAGATTAAGAGTGTGATCGGAGAGTTTTTGTGTTCTTCTGCGGCGGGTCTTGCAGAACTTAGCTCCGACCGCATGGACAGTTTCCACGAGCTTGTCGTTCATATCGTCCACTGCATTGCAATCTTCTAGGCACTGGAAGCGGTTACGTAACTCGAGCTGAAAGGTTTCGGGATTCTGGATTAGAGCACGAGGGGGACGGAGCGTTGACTTCATTAGACGAGACCTCTCCAACTTAACGTTTAGGTTCAGTGTGCCTCTAACCATTCGGTGATCGCTGCCAGTTTTCACCCTTGCGATCACTGAGACATCACTGAACAGTTGGCGTCTGGTCGTCATAATGAAGTCAATCTCATTTTTTGTCGAACCGTCGGGGCTCGACCAGGTCCACTTCCTGTGGGGCCGCTTCTGGAAGAAAGAGTTCATCATAAAGAGTCCCTCTTTCTCCATAAAGTCGGCCAGCTGCTGGCCCCTTCGGTTCCGTTGCCCTACTCCAAATTTCCCTACCTTCAGCTCACCGCTTTCTCTTGTGCCCAGTTTTGCGTTGAAGTCTCCCATCAACACCGTGTAGTAGGTTTTGGAGGAATGTATGGCTCTGGAAATATCCTCATACATTTCCTCCACCTCCTCATCGGGATGTGCCGATATACTGTACGGACGAATGATACTGTACGGACGCAAGATTAGCCCTCATTTTTGGTCCACGGATGACATTTCATATTTGATAAATGAAAATGATAGAATGCATGGGCAAAAAATTGGCATGGAATCAATTTCATCACTACAATGTATTTTAGCGTATTTCGTAGTTCAGCCGTTTGCCACGCTGAAATTGGAGGGCGCTACCCATGAGTATATATTTTTGAACATATATTGAGCGTTTAATGATTAGGGATTATATCGATAATGTTTTTATCAATTCTCCACGACGATGATCTTGCGTCCCGTATTTTATTTCAATTGGGACACAGTGCAAATCCTGCGGGAGGTTCGAGGCGCGCGGCTAGGAGGGAGGAAGGACGTGCGTGCAACAGCCGCATGTTTGTAAACAGATTGCACTCCGCTCGGTAAGACGCGAAATGTTTACGGGAGTGAATTTCCAGTGAATACACCATTGTTAGTGATTAAATAATTTAAGTACAATGAAAAGAAGCTTAAGGCTTATTCAATTGGCAATAAGTGAGTACTACTTGCATTTTATTACGTTTACGATTGATTAGACTACTACAGGACTTTACTAAAATTTTAATAAAAATTATTAGGCTTGCATTTAATTGCCGTCACACTTGATTATTATTAGGGAAAGACGACTATTATTAGAGACAGATTTTTATGTGGAAGAGCCATGCTGCAGTTATATTAGTAGTATAGTTGAAGCACAAATGTGTCGGCTCCACCGGGGAAGGACTACACTCTCACAGAATACCAGCGTTTTAGTTTTTTTATTAGTTTAAATGCTGCTGTGTTGAGTATGTTGAGTCTAGAGAATTCCGGTATGGACCATCGTTTTACTGGAAAGCCAAAGCATTCCATCTTAGTTCTTACGGTACGCATCTGCATTGTTTGATTCGTAATCGAGGATAGATGTAGATTTTTATGGGCCACAGCAGCCGACTTATCATCAGGTAAACTGTGTCCTATATGTCCTATATATAAGACGACAGAAAGCTGTTTAGCTGTTTGAAACTTTGTAAAGATTAATTGGAAATAGAGTTGGACTTTATTGTAATAATTTACCTAAAGTGGTGTGTACACTAATTTATTTCATACTTTGTTGTTAGTTATTTTTTAGGTCCGGGTTGACCTATTAATATTTTACATAAATAGTAGGTTAGTAGATACCCGAGAAAAAAAAATTTCCTCCTAAATAATAAGTTTTCTCTAGTCTATTTATTTGTCATTAGAACACGTAAATAAAGAAAACCATCCAGAATTCGAAGAAAATGAACTGGAAAAATCGAATGAGGTAGACCAGGTATGTTTTTCATTGTTGCAAATGTGGTGAGGCAACTGTTAGTAATATACTAACAGTTGCCTCACCACCCATTTACCCACCCGTGTCTTTCAACTTGCCTATTCACATCAACTACCTAACCGCGCTTCTGAATTTGTCTGCCTACATCAACCTAACTATCTCTTTTGTTTAACATATATATGTTTACATAAACTTACGCCTCCTTTCGTGTATCCTTTTGTTTTTATAACGTGGGAGAAATGCGTTACGTACCTTCCCTCTGCCCGGGGGGAGTAGGGTAGTATGTCGGATTCACTGGCGCCCTGTAAGGCGGTGGGAAAACATAGAAAAATTTTGTGGTCCCCATAGCACAAAATTTTTCCACGTTGGCCAAAGGTCGCTACATGTATTATTGAACTTACCTGTTCCGATCAAAGTCCCTACCCGTGACTTTTTTCCTGTTTACACCAACTTAACTATTCGTGTCTCTAAAGACACCTATTTACATCAACTTATAGGTTCTTCACACTTACTTGTTTACATTAATGTATAGATGTATCCGTGTCTCTGAATTTGCCTTTTTACCAAATCGCACACTTCTGTCCTTGATCTTATATGCTTACCTATTATTCTTTTGTCTACCCATATCTAAAACTTGCCTGTTTAGTTAAACTGTTAAATAATACTTCCCTAGCCTTCTTTTTGCCTGACGTAAAATCTTTATTTTTGTCATCTGAGTCATCACCACGGTTTTCTATAATTAACATTCATTCATTTTGAACTCTTTAAACGGCACTTTCTTATTTTATTTGCATTGTTTTTATTTTTTATATGTATATTTATTTGTATTTCTGTTACAGGAAACATCTGATTCAATATCTGCTTTTTCTGATACTTGTTCAAATTATACTCCACCGAGACAAGATGTGAGTATATTTATAATATAAATATAATTTATACTAATTTATAACACACACATCATACACTCTCATGGCCTCACATCTACACACACAAATTCACTCACACTTACACCACTCATAAACACTTGACACTGATACCTTGCATAATTATCTTTGTTCTATGTAGATACTTTGTACTTTTTTAAAGTAAAGCTTTAATTTACAAAAAAAACTTTCTTGAAACGTCCAATCACTACTTACAAAATACTGACGAACATTATATCACGAACCAATTTGACAAATATTTACAGTTAAATGACATCTAATCTATGTATTTCTATTGACTATGTTTTTGTCTTTACAGACTAGTTCTGATGAATCATTTCTAGAAGAATTTGAGACACCGAAGCAATTATCTCCACTTAAGGAGGTGAACAAGACTTGCGATAAAACTCCAATCATCCGCAATGATTTACCGTTATTACAATGTGTTCCCTTACCTGATATATCCACTGAGCCGCCTAAAAATCTAAATAATAGTGATTTTAGCCATGTAAGTGGTTCGCCTTGCAGTTTACTTGTCGTTAAAAAAAAATTTATACAACCAGAATCCTTACCACAAAATAGGACGGAAGAATTAGCATCAAATCACAGGATAGCTCTCGATAGTAACAATGAATCTCAAACGGAAGACGTTTCAAATGAAAGTACAACAATAATCCAGAAGAAAAACCTAAAAAGAACCAATCATTATCGAGATAAAGATTTTTGCTTTTACTGTGAAACTTTCGTTCTAAATTTTGCTCGTCATTTGCTTAGACACCATATATGAATTGGAAGTGCAAAAAATTATATCAAAACCTAAAAAAAAGCTTAGAAAGAAAAAAACTTATTGCAGCCCTACGTAAAAAAGGAAACTACCTTGTGAATTCAAAAGAGGTAATTAAACCTATGCGAAAACAAAAATTTACCGATTATCTACCGTGTACAGACTGTCTGGGATTTTATTCAAAAAAATTACTTTGGAAACATAAAAAACAATGCACAGGTAAAAAAACAAGTCGAAATGTTCAATCGGAAGCTCAAAATCTGCTAATTCGTCATTTGAACGAATTTTCCATGAATGAGAGCGAACAAAATATCACTTGTGGCAAAAACGGATCCTCTTATATGTGCTTTTGGATCTCAATATTTAAAAATTCACAGAGAGAGGCATTTTGTAAACATGGTATCGAGAAAAATGAGAGAACTGGCAAAACTTTTAATTGAAATAAAAAGATTGATCCATCCATAAGGGATCTGTTCGGTGCCTTACGACCAAACTATTACGATATTATTGTAGAGGCAACCAAAGTGTTAGGAAAATATGACTGTGAGAAAGATAGATTTGAGATGCCTACGTTCGCAATTAATTTGTCAACTACTATTAAACGGTGCTGCTATATAGCAATAATGTTTGCATTAAAAAAACAAGGACCTTACATGGATGTAGATACAGGTATAATTGAAGCAGACTTGAAAACAACGATACAACTCATAGAATCAAATTGGAAGTATGATATATCAAGTCAAGCTGCGACAGATCTGAATCAAAAAATAAAATGGAACAAAATAACTATTATCCCTTTAGCAAACGACTTGAAATTCTAAAAGAATACTTAAATAAAAAATCTTTGGAGGCTTCTATACAAATTAAAGAAGGCATCAAAAAATATTGCAACGTACACACAACTATTAGAAACTGTATTGTAGGGTTTTACTATTGAATAGACGCAGGCCTGGCGAACTTCAAAGAATCACACTGCACAACTATTTAGAAAGTGAAAATAATGCATCTGATAAGTATGATGAATTTGATTGTGTGCTTACTGCCTTTGAAAGGATTCTGGTTAAGAAATTTAAGAGAGTTGTTATTAGAGGCAAACGTGGTCGTGGAGTACCCGTTTTGTTTAATCAAGAAGTGCAAGAGGACATAAAACTATTATTGTCAATAAGACACATGTTTTTTTTTTCAAAGCCAAATATTTTTTTATTTGGTAATCCATGTTATGAAAACACTATCTATGGCTACAAAGTTCTCGAAAGGCATGCAAGATTATCTGGAGCAAAAAACCCAAAAGCAATCTCATCTACAAGGCTCAGAAAACACTTAGCTACGTTGTCACAAATATTTAGCATGTCTGAAAAAGACATGTAGCAATTGGCCACATTAATGGGTCATACTAATGAAGTCCACAAAAAATCTTATAGATTGCCAGATGACGTATACCAAACTGCTAAAATATCGAAACTACTTATTCTTATGGAAGATGGTAAAGCAGATGCTTTCAAAAGAAAGACTCTCGAAGAGATCGATTTAGATATGAATGAAGAGCTAGATGAAGAGGTTCTTGATAATGATCAAATATTGGATTATGATTGTGGTCCTATCGAAACTGTCAACTCTGATTGCATTCAACAAATGTGTAATCAAAACAATTTATCCCAGGCTGGACCATCCGGTATTCAGACTTCTCAACAATGTGTCACCGAACAGATAACACAGGTTTTAAATACCAAAAATAAAATAAAGACAGGAAAGAAAAGAACATTAGTACCTTGGACGCCGGAACAAAAGAAAGTTGTGACAAAATTTTTCAAATTACACATTAAAAATAAACAACCACCTAAAAACATGAATGTGAAATACTAAATGAACAACACGGAGATTTGCTGGAAAACAAAGACTGGCTTAAAATTAAAGTTTTTGTACAAAATATTTACTTAAAAAAATGAACGGATTATTAACAATCTTTTTTATTGTTTTCCAAACGATGTCCATATAATTTAAGTATCTTTCAAGTTCCTCAATACATACAAATAATCAATAAATTAAATATTGTATAATATCAGTGATTTACTTTGCTAATATGCTATATTTAGAATATTATTGTTTTATTTCTATTTCTTATTTTTTTCTGAAAATTGCAATGATATATCATTTAAAAGCGAAGATTATCATTGAGATATAATTGATTCTTATAATGGCTACAAAAATAAAGAGTTATATTTCGCAATAAATACCAATTATTACGTTGAAGACTGAATCGATGTTGATGATTAAGTTAGCTCATAGATAATTTTTAAAATATAGTTTTGTTTCTGTTTTTTCAATTTTAATGATGTGTTATTTTTTAACAAAGTTGGTTAATGCCAGCTAATGTTTAAAAATTTAATGTAACTGATTTGTTGTGTTCAGTATTTAATTATTATTAACGGATTTGATTTCATTGTAAAACAATGAAAATAAACATTGATTTATTTTATTATTGTCTTTTATTAAAATATACATTTATGTTACCATGGTATAAACCATATTTAAGATGTCACTGTAACTAACTCAAACTTATTTATTTACACTGTTGATCCAGTTCTGAACCTTTATCTTTGCACTTACCTATTTACACCAACCCATCCATATTATTTAACTAACCTGCTTATCCCAAACTCGAATGTTTGAATTTACCTGTTAACTCAACTTACCTGCTGTTTGATCGTTTCAATTTACAACTTTACTCAAACTTACCCAACTATAATTATATTTCCACTTATCTGTTTACACCAACTCACCCGTATTATTTAACTTTCCTGTTTATCCCAAACTCGTATGTTTGAACTTACCTGTTAACTCAACTTACCTGCTGTTTGATCGTTTCAATTTACAACTTTACTCAAACTTACCCAACTATAATTATATTTCCACTTACCTGTTTACACCAACTCACCCGTATTATTTAACTTTCCTGTTTACCGCAAACTTACACATTTCAACAACATTTAATTTACAATTTAACATAAAGTTAAAAGAAAAACATTAATTTACCTGACAATTATCTTTCCACATACATTTACTACACAAATCACCTGCCCGTGGCATTAACTTACCTGCCTCACCTTGTGTATTTGAATTATTATGGTGTAATATGGTTTAAATAAATAAATAGGGGCAAAATTCCTTTTAGTCAATTGCGGTTAAAGAAGTAGCTTTAGTTACTTAAAACTAAAAGGCTTCTATCATGTCTGAATATTTTCCACTGTCTAAATATTTACTATTGAGATTATAAAAACACGAAATAAATACTAACATAAAAATTGTATTTACTGATATACCATAGCTGGAAGCCGGTTGACTAGTACGATGAATACAAAATATAAAAACTGTATACGGAATCACAATCTTTTCCAAAATTGATGGATGTAACTTTACTATCGTAATCTTTGTAACATATATAGGGCATTATACAGAATCAGTTTAAGCGTAAGTTTTGATGGAGGTAGGAACATCTATGCAGTGTATAGAAGGTATACAGGGATATTCAGGGTGCTGGATAGTTTTGGTGGTAAACGGACGTACTGAGTTACCGGGAATTATTTAAAAGTGAATATTAACATATCATGTTTAATTGGAATTCCACGTCGACTAATGAAATCATACTGATTAAAACTTCGTAAATACACGTTAAAACATTTAAAATCTTGCCGCATATAGTGGACGCCGCAGTGTGGTAGTCTGTAAAGACGCAAGAAGTCTTCGTCGATTTAAAAATATATATATATATATATATATATATATATATATATATATATATATATATATATTTTGCTCTGTTTCAGCATGACATAACTGGAAGGGCATTGGTGCGGATAAATGATAATACACTCTTACGAATGGGAATCACAAATAAAGACCACAGGGAAGCTATATGGCGAGAGATCCTTAAACTGCGGCTCAAGACGGATATTGTCGAAATAAGAGATTTGGAAAGGGCAGATTTTAACTATGATTTGTGACACAGGGAGACTGTTTGTTGGGAGAATGTTGGAACTCGACAGTCTATTTTTGTAAAACACACACTCAAGTTATTAAATGTTATTATTGCATTAAAGATTATGTCCCATCAAACTGTGGGGTCCAAAAAACATGGCCATGCAGCATATCATTACTGAAGCATATTTGTTATGTACAAATATGTGTATAGGTAACACTATGATTTATTCTGTTTCACCAAAATATATTTCACAGTAATGATAAATATTGACACTATCTATTCTCTATGATGTAAACATCAAGCCTGATTGCTAGATTCACAATAATAGTACCTAATGCTTTGTATCTAAATCTGATATTTAAACAGTCTTTTAGTATTTGTGTAAAACTATTATATCTGGGAATTGTCTTTTTTATCTTTCTAAAGTCCAGAAAATAATTGCAAACTGTATGTTGCGACAATCAAGAGGATTTAAATACAGTTGTTATTGTTCTCATTATAATTTTAATGGAAAATATTGAATTGCAATATATGCAGATGATGCATTGTAGACTACTTTAAAGCTTGGTATCATGGAGTGTAGAGGTAAGCAGAACCGTTTCATCAACTACTCTAGTCACCACAAATATTAAATTCCTCAACCCACCACACTTCACTCCGTCAACAATTGCTAAATTCATTTCAGTTGCTCTAGCGCTGTTGTGGAGAGTTATTGAACTATTATTTACTGCTTCCAGGTGAACTCTTTTTTTAACTATTCTATCTATGTGAGACAGTTCTCCTTATCTCCTACTTGTGTACTCCTACACTCCATGCTTGTTATTTTGTAAACTAAGCTCAATATCACAATATTTTTTTAATATAAGGGTCCAAAGGAGAACACTGTTTTACTTGATAGTAAGTGGATGCTGTGGGTCATAGACACCCACATTTATTCTTGATTAAAGATCAAAATGTAGATGCATTGTCTCCATCTGGGAAGTAAGTTAGAATGTTGAGTGAATTGTTACTACATGGTAAAAAGAGGTGCCGGTTCTCTTTACTCATTATTCAAAACAGCAGAATTAAGCTCCTACTATATGATGTCAATTGTGCTGCAATCATATTATATAATGCAGCGTGGGTTTAGAAAATGTTAAACTTCTGAACTTCAAAATTGTACTGAAAGACATGGTTTAAAGTGCATATATATGCATGAGTGCATGAGTTTTACAGTAAATTGAACGTGAGTTTCAAATCACTTGAAATGTACATAGTGTTCTGTCTTTGATGATGTGAACTCTCAAGTCCAAGATATCAATTTATTTTGCTAATGATATGATTTGCCGCAGACACTCCTAACTTTTGTGGGATGTGAGCAGAATACCAGACAGAATTACAGAAGTTTGTGTTGATAAGTAGTCAAGGCATCATGCATGAATTAATAATAATTAATAATAGGTACATATGAAATTGGCGTTTTGTATGGGAGGAATATAAAGTCAATTTTTTTTGTAATATATAATTAATCAAAGTATGCACCGTTGTTATCTATGCACTTTTGCCATCTCATAGGTAGTTCATTGATCCCTTTACTAAAAAACCATGGGGGCGAGAATCAATAAACTCTGAAGGCGGTTTGGACTGCCGCATCGGAGTTGAATATTTTTCCTTGTAAGAAATTGTCCAAATTCCGGAAGATATTGGTAATCTGTTGGAGCAAGGTCCGGGGAGTACGGTGGATGTCACAGACATTCCAATTGTAGCTCCTCTAACTTAGTGCTTGTTTGTTGTGCAGTGTGTGGTCTTGCGTTGTCGTGAAGCAGCAGTGGCCTAGAGCGATTGACCAATGTTTAGCAGCTTGTTCTTCCTTCATGGTTTGCAGTTGCTGACAATAGATATCTGCCATAATCCTTTGGCCAGATTTTAGAAAGCTGTAGTGAATGACACCGGCGCTAGTCCACCAAACACTCACCAGTAACTTTTTCTGAGTCAATTTTCGTTTAGGGCAGGATTTGGCTGGGTCAGCAGGGTTCAGCCATCGGCACGAGCGCTTCCGATTATCGTACAGTATCCACTTTTCATCACAAGTATTTGCAAGTTCGATTCACTCAATTCATGAGGTACCCATTGTTCAAGTTTTTTTGCTTTTCAGATTTGCTTCAAGTGGATATACAGTTTTATCACTGAAGCTGCAGTTCTCGAAGTGCTTTGTGAGGATCCGTTCCACAATAGTTTCATTTTCCACTTTGGTCTCCGGGTCAAGGGTTGATCTGAAGGTCGAAATTTTCAGAGCGAAAACGTTCCAAAAAGAGGGTTTTTTTTGCGACTCCAGCAGTACACTCATTAAGCTGTTTCTGCAGCATTGGTGCCAGGTAGACTGGTAATCGTGAATATACCGATATTTCATGTTTTCCATTGTGCTGTAATAAACGACGCCAAAGAAAAAAAATGAGGAAAAAACAAATGAATGACTGTTTTCAAAACGTAAATGTACTAGCTAAATGAATTTATAAATTTGAATTTGTAATTCTTAACTAAAGAGGAGATATTTCAGATCAAAGTGGTCAGTACGACAAAACGCTAATTGTAAGGACCCAATAATTAACGTCAAAGTTACATAAGAACACTGTAAGAAAGGCAGTGAGTGAGAATGTGATAATGTTTATGTATATATGTTATATGCTTTGTGACAGGGACAATATTAACTATAAGTTACTATTAAATGATAATGAAAAGTATTTAGTAAATTAGTTATTATATACTAGATAATAAAATGTTACCAACATATTTGGTACTTGTTAAAACGCTCAATATAGCTTATTAATAAATTGTTTTGTACGCATTTATGTTACTTTGTATTTTAATTCCTTGTAAATAATGGAAAACACTTAGCTTAAGGAGC